CCATATAATCTAGGTAACTCAGACTCCTACACACCCATGAACTGAATTTTTCCTACTGTATACTTACTTTCATTTCAGAATTGTATACAATTTTGAATTGGTTCAGAGGTTGTAGTTCCAGTCTGGTTCAAGGGTAAGTGGGCTAGCTTTATTTTGAGATAATGTTGCAATATTGCCAAAGGAGGATTTATTAATGCTAATAAATTCAAGACACTAATTCTCCCTAAACAAAATAAATATTAAGCGATAATTCCTAATTATTGATTGTAACTTTCCAGCTGTTTTTTCTACCCTCATTCTTTTCCTTAGTACAGAACTCGTCCCTTTTTACAAGCTTCAAAGTTTCATTAAGAAAGCCTTTCATTTTCCAGAATGAGGGCCAGTGCTGTATTATTTCTCTGAATGACTCTGGCAGTAATACTATGCTAGAAACACCAAACTTACTGGTAAACAGAAACTATAGTCCTCACCATAAAATACTACAATTACACAGTGCACAGTGTCTCTGTGGTTTTTATCACGGAAGAAATCAATAGTAGTATAGACTACAATTCTCGGCTGGACTACAGGAGATATAGGAGGGCAGATGAAAGAGTTTATTGACTTCGTGGGGGTTGTTACTCTAGCAAATCAGAGCTGCAGAAAGACACAGCTTTTTAACTGAATGATTTTAACCCAAACACCCAAATATTTCAGTCTAATAAGAGACCTGATAAGAAATAAATATAAACACACACATGTTAAGAAAACCCCTGTGTAGCCCCCTTCCTTTTCCCTATTTATGCCTGTACTTCAGACCATGATTATTGACAAATATCCAGTCATAAGAAATAATTCTCCTAATGCTGTAAAAAATGATCTAGATGCTATGGGGTGGGTATGTCATGAAAGTCTTACTCTGAATAGTTCACGCTTGGATTTGATCAATGTAATAATTTGTTTGTTATTTTATATACCTAATAAAAGGTCCAATGTTCCATATTGTAGCATTGTATTCCTTGTTAAATAGCTTGCTTTGAGGATGTTTAAATAGATACAGAAGTAGTAGGTATTAAAAAAGCAGTCAAAATGGAAATAATATATTGAGAGTGGGAGAAAGTGAAAGAGAGCTAACCTCCAAATATTGCTACTTTTCAATCACATGAATTAGTTTTGTTTGACATAAAAGAAGAATACTAAATGATGAAAATCTGACAAAGAATAGCTGGTACATGGTAGTACTACTTTAATTCTCAACTCAGACTAATGCCTAGGGGAACAAACCCTGTATCTCTGGATGAATGGTCAGTAAGACAGCTTTTCATTGTTGTATTTATGACACAACTTAGCAAGACGCACATTAGCAGCCTAAATCAGAATCAGAACTGGCTTTGTGTATTCAGAGGCAGCCTGTTCTCAAAGAATGCAATGTACCCTGAACATAAAAAATGAAAGACCTGCTGGATTTTTATTCTGTGGGAGCAATATAACGATTCATTTATATTTTAATTAAGATTTCTTCTTAAAGGTCCCTTTATGAATATATTCTGAGAGGAAAATAGAATTTCATAAATGTGACAATATTTTATTCTTAGATGACAAATATCTCGGGCTGCTTGTCTTCTGCAAGCAATTTGCAATGTGTTCTGAGAAATGCCAACATGTGGCCACCATTAGTTCTGATCCAAAGACAGCACATTCGTTGATATGTCTGAATAGAACAATTCTTTAGTACCTTAATTCATGATCATGAAAAGAGATGTGAAAATAGGGACATCTCAGGTCTTCTTAACAAAAGGGGAAGAGTTTGTATGTATGGAAGGCAAACTACTATCTCATAATAAAAATCTAAGAAACAAGACTTCACGAATACAGAATATTTAGCTTAGAGGACTCATTATACTCCTGAGCCAATCTTCTGTACTCATTCTAAAAGTTTATGTTTTATTAACAATATTTTCTTGGAATAAACTAAGTCATACACACAGTATAATTTCTGGCATAAATCCAGAATTTCCAAGGGCTTATGAGGATGTTCGTACTGAACATATCTTGCAAATTGGTGCTACCTGCAGAAATGATTACCATCTTTATCCATACTTCACATTCCATGGACATTGGTTCAGTACCTGTCATGAATTATGAATAAGTAACTCATTTTTTGGAAGTCATATTTTGAATCTTTAAGAAGTCAAGGGTGCCCATTTCTGGACTCTGATAAAAATGAGTAATGGTTCCCTTGTCTGGAAAGAATGGCAGCCCCTCCATGGAAACCACTAACTTACCTTTTGCTCGTGGGAAAGCAATACTATCACTTGTTAAATGGACACAGTTTTTATTCGTTCTGGTTCCTGGATGTTTACCTTTTTTCATTTTAGAGACAGAGTTAGGGTATTTCTAAATTGCATTTTTTGTTGTTCAAAGAATCCTGCATTTCTAGCATTTCCTTCAAAGAAATCCAAATGGTTCACCCTGAGGTCCTGACAGTGTCTGTGGTTTGCCCCAATGGACTTACTCTGCATGCAAAGCCCATCAGTGCAGTTCTTAGATTGCAAGACGAGGCCATCACAGTCCTTGCCTCCGTTCTTGGGTGCTGGTGCTGTGCACTCTCTCCTGCGCCAGTGGGTGCACTCGGTCCCGCAAGTAGACCACTTGCTCCATGAGGTCCACCTGCCATCCACTGCCATGAAACAAATGCAGCAGCAGGTCAGAGGGAGAAGCAGCTACTGGAGGGGTAAAGGAAGCACAGCACAACCAGCACAGCACATAGCAAGGCAAGAAATTGGGAGACAATGCCCCACCAAGAAGCAGGCATTCATTTACTTGTCGGGAAGTGGAGCATGCTCTAAATCATTTGGGTTCTGTGGACTTTTCTTACAGGGTATGTGACTGTCTCCTCACTGATCAAGCCAAGTGAACCTTAGTGGGACTCACAGAAACTAAAATCAACACCAAGAGCTACATAAAAGTAGGTCATGGCAGTGCCCTTTTTTCTATTCACAGGGAAGCTTCTGGAGCTTCTGGATTTTGCACTGAAAATTAGGGGTCCACTTTCCGGATTGATGCTTCCTTCATTCATAGAGTCACATAGCACGAAAGGGAACTTGTGTGGGAATTGAGAGAAAAGGGGGGTACAGGGGGGAGACATGCATCCCCCCGGCCGTCCAATTGATCGAACATTTATGCTTTACATATGTTTCATTTTCCTGTTGTCATCCAGCCTTCTGCAATGCCTTCTTCAAAAACCTACATCACTGTTTGACAATGAGTCCATTTCTACTTTTATTTTAAAAATAATATTTAAGAAAATCCCTATTTTTTGTTGTGATTCAGTCATTTAGGATTGACTTACTTTCTTCCTAAATTTGGTAGCTGGCTTGTCAGTGATTTCAGTGGTCATGAGCTCAGATAATCTCTATTTTAAAACCACATGACTGAAATCACAGCTTGAAAAAACTGTACAGTAAATTTCAGTCATCCTTCAGTACCATATATTGACCACTCAACCTTTTTTTTAAATCTAAATAGAAATAATGTCAATTTTAATAGTCTGCATGGTTTGCAAAATCTATAGGATTTCATATTCAAATTATTGTGTAAAGGTATCATGTACAATCCACATATGGATATAAACATGCCTGCCTGATGAAATGATGAAAACATTAATATTTCAATCACACAGAGTTGGCTGTACATGCAACTCCCAACCACTCGGAGCAAAGCCATTTGCTTTGGTTTAGACCATCCCAGTGTGCGAAGTACTGACAGACACACACACAAGCACACACATTTCTATTTCAACTCAAATTGATCAGTGAATTTCTTATTATGAGTGTCAGCACCTAGGTAAAATATAGGAGGGTACAAAACAAAATCTGATATTCTAAGCCTAGCTAAGTGGAAAGATTTGTTCCATAAATAAAAGCTCGCAAAGCATTCAGTGTGAAAGACCGTTTTGATACTTGGAAATCAACACTTGGGAATGTAAAATGTGGATTCTTTTTCCCTCTCCAGTTCATTTATCCAGCCTTTCCCTAAGAAAGGTTCTATTAAAGAATAAACACGACAAAATTAGGCAAAAGAAGGAGAAGTAATCCGGCTGTGTATTTATACAATGAAACTGATAACACAAAAGGTACCCCAATGAGTACACTATATTATTTCAAAATAATTTTAGTTTGACTTGGGACTATATTATATACCTAGGCATTTTAATAGGTTTTGGTTTTGGCAAATATTATCTTCAATTTACCTAAGGGTAAGAGAGCTGTGGAAATGTGAGATAGAGCAGAAAGATACTAAGAGGCAGAGAGATGCAATCTCGCTGTAGATACCACCCACTGCCAAGAACTCACAAAATAGATGACCGACACAGATAATAAAGAGCTAACTGCGTTGTATTTCAAAACCCATTGCCCTGTGTGTCCCAAACAAAGCTTTACCTTCCTTTTAATTCATTCCAAATGTTTCAGTTTCCCTTGAGTAGAAACTGACACCCAAAATCAAATGCATATTTCAGTCTAAAACATTTTCCAAATTTCAATTTCAATTAATTTCCATGGTTATCTGAAGATCAAGCATTGTTATTCTTAAGCTATGTGGCTTTCAACCTGTTCAAATCCCTTGGATTATAGAACCTACAAGCTTGGCTTCATCGGTTTTGTTAAATAATATAGAATTATGTTCAAGAGTGTTTAATATCCTGTTTTGAACTATTTTGCATGTGTGGGTAACAAAGTTCAGTACCCTTTGGGAGGAAAATACTTGATTTCCCAGCAATGTAGAATAGATTTAAATAATGTTTATCACCCATTTAAATCAATAATAAGGCCTCTGTATCTTTTCTGTAAAATACATTTCTAGAAAGGTAAGAGACACTTGGATGGAGAGGACTGGTTTACTCACCTGGGCATAACGTAGTACAGGCTATTTTCTGCACACTCTGCCCTTCACAGAAGGCACCGCCATTGAGAGGTGCTGGGTTGGTACAGGTCCTTGTCCGTTTCTGAAACCCTCGTCCACAGCGGCTATTACACACAGACCACTCTGTCCAGGTGGACCAGCCACCATTTACTGCAATGAGACAAACGATAAAAAAGTGGATTGAACACGTGTGCATGCACACAGAGATACACAAACCACACATAACACCTAACCAGAAGGCATCTCCCACATGACCATAAAAATCCCTGAAAATTTCAAAATTAGAAGAGACTGCAGACATCATTTCCCCTAGTTTTACTGTACAGCTGAATAGTCTAAACACAATGATAAAATGATTTACAAAGATTTACTCATAACAGGAAAGTAAACGGGACTATGTTCTCTTTTCCTGGTCCAGTGTTCCTTTAAAAAACACCTCTCTTTACCTAGTCAAGTACCAAAAATTACTTTTGACAGCTTATCTCAAATAATAAATGTTTACATCCTTATGCCAAGGGTGCAACTGGAGCTGTAGCATGGGAATGGAATAAAATCATTTAGCCTTTCAAAAAAACAGATGATGGATTATTTTTCTTTGGCATATGCAAACTTTACAACCCTTTAAGGGTTTTTAGTCAGTTTTGCAACCAGTGAAACTGGTTAAAAAAATAAAATCTTAAATAATAACAGTGGAGTTATAAACAAATGAACTGGCTATGTGATTGAATTGGCCTTTAGTTCATGTCACTGAAGTGGGTACCTATTTCATGGATAAAGACTAATTGTCATGTTTGACGGAGCTGTCAGGAAAAGTGTGATAGCAAAACCTGCACTCGACCACTGTACACACTATTCACCTCTGCAGATCTCTCCCTACAAAATACAGATTACTTAGTAGTTCAATAATAGGCTATGCAACTATTAGATCACATTTAAGCAATTCTAACAAAAGAAAATACCTGATAGTAAAAGATATTAAAAAAGGGTGTTAGCCATTCAACTAACACAGATACCGCAAATGTATACCATTTGCTCCACCTTTTGTTTTTTGGATACCTATCCAATAGGGAATAGTCATGAATATGTTAAATTCACAGACACAGAAAAGGCATGTTTCATTGGAGAGTTTT